ATGGCCGCCACCACGCGTCTCAAGTCGTAAAGGGTCAGGATAAAGGGCCGCATGGACCACGCACCGGTGACTCAACGTGGACTCTTTGCAGGGTGGTTCTTGCCGTGGTTCGGCAAGAAAGGGGACTTCCGGATGTAGCTGCCACTGTGAGTTTCCAGCTTCATACATTGAGAAAGGTTGGACAAGCGCGTGGTTGACTGTTGTGGGATTTTTTCGATCCCTGCTATTTTTACCCGGTGGTTGCGAATTGGTTGGTTCCCAGAGGGATGGCCTCCGGATCCTGAAAGGGCTGTGGCCAGATTGGAAACACGCTGGAAACACGCTGGCGCACCCGTCCTATTTTGAGTAGCACCACGGAATTGTGTTGGCCTCGGGCAATGACTTGTACGAGGAGGACATGAGTCCTTCTTGAACTCGGGCCTTGAAGGGTTCTACATGTTTCTACCACACTGGTCCAGCAGGACACGTACTTGCCCACATACCAGCTCAACGTGTCTATGGTTTCCACCTTCTCAGAGCAACCCAGATCGATCAAATCATGGTACAGGCACAGGGCCCTGCAATGGCAGCAGCACTTCGGGGACCAGCAGCCAATTTAGTCGCCGCAGTCGGTGGAGTTGTGCCTGGTGGAGCCCCACCAGCTCCGGCATCGGTTGATACATGGGTTGTCGACACAGGGGGAGACATCGTAGCCCACCCCGCTACCGGCGGGTTCAGTGATGTTGGTGCCAGTGGGAACAGAATTTTCTTGTTGGAGGATGCAAGGGTGTTGCCAGTGCAGTTCAACTCGAAGAGGGTTCGTCGTCGAGAGTTTCTGAATGGGGGGGCTACAGTTCAGTGGGCCAGACACAACCAAATGAACGGCCGCCGGGACCTGTTGCGAGCGCGGGATGAGGACATCAGAAGTGCCTCAAGGAGATCGGTTGGTGCGAGCAAAGAAGTTAATGGGCCGCCTTCGGACGTGCAGGCGCAAAGTCAAGTCAAAGTCAAGGATTCTTGAAGCGCTGATTTGTGTTGTGAGGCTCATTGCGTATCACCTTCCGCGTTACCGCCGTTGAGGCCAAGCAACTGCTGATGTGGGATTGGCTGCACATGCCGTGGGGAAGGTCACGAATGAACCTGCCATCGCGAAGGAGAGCCGCAAGGCCAAAGAGGAATAACAGTTGAGGAAAGGCCGCCCAAGCCCCAAGAGAGGCGGGGAGGGTGGCTCAGCCCCTATGACAGCGGGGGCCGGGCTGGATCAAGCTGGTGGATGCACCAGTGCGTGGCAAATTTGATGAAGCACACTGGGGGATAAAGTGGCCCCTCGGTTTTTTATTGAGCTGAAGTACATGAATTCGCAGACTGGAGTTCTGCCGGAGGTTTCTGCTGCCATGGAGCCAGTTTTGAGGAACGGTCACCAATCAACCTCCTCGAGAAAACGGGGTCGAAGTGTTGAAAGAGTCTTGCTGTCCATTCATCAGGAACACATTTTGTAAAGTTGAAAGGCCGAATAGACTTGATCGATTTGTAGACAAACGGACTCATCTAGTAGAGAATAAGGAGACAACAAACTCTACAAAATGATATCGTTTTGTTGATTCCCTGGGAGGGCCCATCATTCTGTAGATTTTGTGCATTTTTCATTTTCTACACAATGACATACAGTGACCTCGAGCGCTGCATTTTGTAGATCTTTCATGGGTTGTCGTACTTTTTTCGTTTTTTTTTTTCCACTCCCATTTTGTAGATAGTATCATGTTGTAAAGCCAAAGAAGTGGTTTTTTACTACAAAATGACTGTCTCGACCCCACGCCCTGAATTTCAACGGGGGTAGAATTTGAGGGACACCGTTGTTGAGCATCTCCAAAAGCTTGGGTTTATAGTTCGTGAGGAACTTGATACCATTTCAATTGCAAACTCTTTGGGGTACAGAGCTGACGGTATTGTAGCCACAGTGGGGCCAAACCCACGCAAATTGGAACTCGTGCCGTTTCTACGAGGTCACATCATGAAGGGCGGCCACGGGTTCCCACACGCAGCGGGGATGGGGGACGTTGACAGGCGACACCAGCGTGACATCGCGCCCTGGGCGGGGCGCCTCACCTGACAGGTGGGGACTATAAGGACAACCAGCAGGCAGGAACCGTGGCAGTTTCCTACTTTCAGGCCAAACAAGTCTGGGTGCCCACTGGGTCGTATGCTGGCGTCGCGGAGGGCTGACTGGGGCCCAAATCAAAGATAGGGGGAAAGGAGGAAAGGAAGGTCAAAGGGGAACGTGGCAAGCCGAAACCCCAACGCAAAGGAAAGGACAAAACACATAAAAAACAGGGACCGGGAAAATGAGGACAAAGAGCGTTGCCCTATGTGCTGGCGGCACGGCGCACGGTGGACCAAAGCTGGGATAATGCGGAGTAGTGCAAAGGGGCAAAGCGCGAAAGGTAAGGGAACCGGCCAGAAGGGCAAGTCAGGCGGTATCAATGCTGTTGCTGATGACGCCGCCAGCTATACCTGTCTGTCGGCCCCTGCGCCTCGCAGCTCCAAGCGCGAGGACCGACCTCAGCCTCACGCGCCGCCGTCTGTATCCAGGCAGAATGTTTGCGACGTCTCTGATGGCGGCCGCACCCCCATGCTCGGCGCAAGGAACTCCAGCCCGAGCAACGGGGATGTTACCTGTGGACACTGGGGTCGCTGGGGCTTGCTGCGTGTCAGCCTGCTGCCCTTCAGATCCTTCAGCCTTTGATGCTGCTTTTGGATCGCCAGGGCAGTTTGACTCCCCGACCTCCAGAGGCCGAAGGAGCAGTCGTGGTGCGACGAGTCGAGAACCGGGAACAATCCTGCCACGCGCAAAATATGTCGCCGTCGGAATCGAAGAGAAAAAATGCCAGTTCCATCGCACAAACTTGACCTTAGGACACTCCACTGACCGAAGAGTGGGCTAAGCGCTTTGGATCGGCTGTGGCCAGTGGCATTTACCTGTTCAGCTGACCGAAGGGATGTTGTCCACGCGGTGACAGAGCGGGCACGCCGCACAGCGAGTCATGCAAACGTGGTGCGGGTACCAGTGTTGGATCCCGACGGGCACCAACGCCTTGCCGGTGAGCTGTGCAGCGACAGCGGTTGGGCTGGATGGCCCGAGGACAGAAGGTCCACAGATGCCCTCCTTAACGTATTTTCGCGGTGCGACCGCCCCCACTCAGACGCAGCTGAGGCTACCAGCCACGTGTTCACCTGATTTCACCTGATTATGCTGAGCTCTGTGGGATGAGCCGCGCTGCTCGAGAGGCCATCTTCCTCAAGGGGTTTGCGACCGAAAACTTCCGCGTGTCCTGACGGCGGCCAAGCGGATCGGGCCAAAAAATAAATTCCGACATCTCGAGGTGTGCGAGTTCTACGTCCAAGGGGTCGTGCAGGCTGGGCAACTGCAACTGCGCAAAGTGAAAGGCACCATGACCATTGCCAACTTCCTCGCCAAACATCCCGAGACGGGAAAGGGGGTCCAAGAAGCACTGCCATCTTGGGGACTGACAGCTGCAGAAGCGGCGGCAGGAACCGCAGAATCGAAGAAGGGCATGGTGAAGACGCTCAAGGAAAATCCACCGACCCAGTGGAAGACCATGGAGCCAAGGAAATCTGCACTTGTGCGGTGCTCACGCCGCCTGTCAGATCCAGGGAGTGCGTGGGCAGTCAGGCCAAAAAGAGGACATCGACGTTTTCAACCTTTTGCTCTTGTTGGGCATGTTGATCGTGTTCACCCTAGGACTGTGGATGCGCCCGGCCATCATTCGCCGGCGCCGATTGCGGAGGAGCGACAGGCTCTGCCAGAACCGGCAGCAGCGCAGGCACAGGCAGAGACGCAACCAAATACCATTTCGGGCCCACGAACACGTGCGGGAACCCCTCGGCTTTGGGTGCGTGGTACAGAGACCTTGGAGCTTGAGCCAGTGGTGCCTGCAGCCCTTTTGGGCGTGGTGGAACGGAACAGACAGGTTTTACCACGGCTAGGCCATAACAAAAAGATGATGCAGTTGCACAACAAAGTGCAGCAAAGCAACAAAGAACAGGGAGGGATGTGTCATAGCCACTGGACACCGCGGGGCGTTGGACAACAACGAGCGGAACATGACCACAACACGTGGTCGGAATGATAGCACGAGCGGAACATGCGTTTACTAATTCTTGCGCTCGTGATCAGGTTTTTTTCGCGCACCGGACGCCGGACCTCGTTTCCTTCAGCTTTGTTCCGTTGAAGAAACAGGCCCATTGGAATGTTTGTTGTTGCGCGCCCCCGGCATGAAATGAAGTGAAAATGATCTTGACGAAAAATTTGTCCACGAATTGGTATTCTCCAAGGAATAGTAGGTCGTCCATGCAAACTATGATGTAGGCTTTTGCTTCAGGTGTTCGTGCCGCGGCCACACCGTCGGGCTACTTCGAACATTACCTCCGTTGTTTTGTTTCGCTGTGCCCACTTGAAATCACCTGTGCCCATTTGCAGTCGACGATGTTAGTTTTGTTTTGGTCTGTCAGTCTTTGGTGTGTGTACTTCTGTAAGGACTCCATGTTTTTCATTGACCCCATCTCCGTCCCCATTCCTTGTTACTGGTTTTCCACATCGTTTCCTTCACTAATTGTCGCGAACCACCGAGTCTCTTGTTGCGCTTGTTGTTCCTTTTTCGTTTTTTCCATATTTATAGTTTTGTGATTTTTTGTTTTGTTTCGATTGTCCGGGTTGCTCCCCCCGGCAACAGGCAGGCCACTACCCCACTCCCGCAGGGTGACCTGAAGTATGGACCGTGAAAACACAACAACAAAATCTGGCTGTCCGGAGTGCGGCGGCAAACCTTGGAGTTGTCATGGTTGGCGTTTCACTAGCTTGCCTAGTTGTAGGTATGATTCAAAGGTTGCAAAGCAACGTTTTCGCACAACATCTTGCGCTGCGAATGTGCTTTTGGACAGTCCCTTCACGTCCATGTCGCTCCGTCACGGGCAGTCCAACACCAACTCACCCAGACATGCAGGCCACATTTCTCGAGATTCAGTTACTGGAGGATGGCGTGGGGCTCAGAAGCATCAGGAGCGGTTTTGCCTGTGAAATTCATGGAAACCTTTCATAGAAACAATTTCGTTTGTGACACGGATGAAGGCGACAGTACGCGTTTGAAGCGGCTGAATGCTAGGTAAACACCAAACCTCGTTCTTGCACGGGTGCAATGGGAAATTTGGGTTCTCCCAGTTTAGTGTCAAATTAAGGCATGACCGATCCCGGGAAGACCAGCTGATGATAGCCCAGGTGCAAATCGCTGTGGGCGTGAGCATCCGTTCTGTTGCATTGTTGTGGTGGTGTAGTTCCAGGCAGTTCTCGCGTTTTTGCATGGGATGGCAAGCAACCCATTAGAGGCAGTAGAATGCCAGAGCATCCTGTGACGCATGCATGAAAACTCTGAGGAGATGCTTCAAGACCTGTGTGGGATGCATCATGTATATCATATCCCCCATTCTTGGTAATAGATGTATGTATTTGCGGGGTTTCCTTCAATCCGCGGATAAGTCGGCCCGGAAAGGCAAGGCTATGGGAAACTTCGAAGCGCGCAGGGAAACTCAAGGCCGTTGAACTGGGCAGTGGCACAGCGCGACAAAGCTGCTGGGGTGTTACTTGACGTGTATGCACATCAAAAAAAACAGTTGACTGGCCAAAGTTATTTAGAACATTGCAACAAGTAAAACACACTAACCTTCAACATCCAAAATGTAAAATCCTTCAGTTTATTCACGGGGAGTGCTTTGGCTCAAAGCTTGTGGCTGACAAAGGGCCGGGGATAGAGCCGGGGCGCACGTGATGCCGGGGAAATGGTGGGTGCTGACAGCGGTTGCTTCAGCGGCACATGAGAAAGATGGGCTGAAGGCCAGTGCTTCGACGAATTGTTTTTGAAAAAACCAGTGGTTTTGTGGTGTGTGAGCTGGTGGGAGGATGTGATTGAAGCCGCAACTAAGAGTGCTGTACAGCATCTTGGCAGGGTTTCGTAGGCTTGGAGCACAGAATGTATATGCAAGAGCGCGTGGACACATGGAAGAGATGGAACTTTTGCTGAGGATGATCGACAAGCTGGAAGGTGCATGCGGGGCTTCTGCAGTGGAAACATCGGATGGTTGCCTGGCTGAGTGATACGCTGTGGGTGTGTCACTTGTTTTGCTGTGACAAGCCGAGCCGAGTGGTTGTATGCGGTTGTCAGGTTTCGTTCCTCCGAAAGGAAAGACCGCCGAGTGCTGGGTGGAACAATACACCAACTGCACCATGAGCTACACGCAAATCCGGTGTCCAGTGCCTTGACTGACACGCCTTGAATGCATGTCAAGTCATGTCATGCGGTCCAGCGCGTGACTGACCATGGATGCCCTTGCCTACATGGAATGAGATTTCGGACGTGACCTTAACGTTACTGATGATCCATTCAGAATTTTTCACAACTATATGAACTTCCTACAGGTATTTCTAAAAACATTTTGGTGCCAAACAGCACTGTCAACTAAGGACTCTTGCCCCATGGTTGCTGCCAGTCCAAGTTTTCCGTGCATTTTCACGTGCGTGACTCCAGAGGAGTCTCCGCTCGTTCGCCGCAGATTTTTTCCGCAGAAACATGATTCAGATTTGACAGAGTTGCCCATAAATGGTGTATAGGGTGAAGACCATTCCATCGATACCCAAGCTCTTGAGATATCTCTGGGGCCCGATCCATTTGCAATGCCTTGTGAAGGAGTGCGCTGAATATAGCCCTGGCCATGCTCGGCCGGATTTTGAGCTCAAACTTTGCACGCCTTGTTCCGTGCTAGGCTCGGCAGATGTTTGGAACTTAGACTTCTGCAAGAATAAATGAACCAATGGAGTGGGACATGTCCAAAGGTTCTTGAATTCGAACATGAATTGGGATGGTTGATGGGCACATTGGTTGACAAACGGCCACCAGCAAGGGGCAGGTCATGTGGAATTTGGCAACTATATATAGCATGTAGAAATCAGGCATCAGCGTTGTTTTCCGCAGGCTGCCGCTACTGCACGTCGCACACGGAGTGCAAAGAGTGCTTCCCAGGCGCCTTTCTCGCGCCCGGGCGAAGCGGTCGGAGTGGCGAGCCGGCGGATCGCTGGAGTGTCCATGTGATGTTGAGGTACTGATCGCAAATTCTATTTACTTATTGTTTCGACTAGCTTCTTGTTCCTAGTAGTAAGGCACTTGTCACTAGAAGCGATGCACTTGTTCCTAGTAGCTTATTGTTTCTATTTACTTATTGTTTCTACTAGCTTCTTGTTCCTAGTAGTAAGGCACTTGTCACTAGAAGCGATGCACTTGTTCCTAGTAGCTTATTGTTTCTATTTACTTATTGTTTCTA